TATATATATATATATATATATAGATATATATATATATATATATATATATAAACATTTTGAAATGAGAATTGTATAGGAACCTTACAGGATACAAACTATTAAACAGCAAGATAAAAACACAGCTATATTAAAGTAGTAGTTGTGCTTGTTGAAAGTGATTGATGCATGCTTTTCATATTTTGTTTAACGTAAGTCATACTGTCTGCACTTTTAGATTTTCTTTTCAGTTGCTATTAGATGTGGGGAAACGGTCTTCCATGTATGATCATTTTTAAGCCTCAAGAATATTGACCCTTTTTAAATGAATTTAGTCTTGCGTGAGGCTGGGCCTGTTGTTTTGGGCCCCTGGTTAGTTCTGAGTAATTTGATCTACGGAGAAATCACGAGAGGTCTGGCTCAATTTATGTGGAATAAGAATTATGGGCAACATACAAAACCAATATAATTTTGGCCTATTTAAACGGATTCAGTCCACAAGAACTTGAACGCTTCATAATCGCATGTCGATGACGTGTCGGGATTACGTCATCACTAATAGACAAAAACGTAAAAAAAAAAACCCGGCTCCATCTGCTGGGAGTCGCACACGGGGGGTAATTTCTGTCAAAGGTTGAAAACTAATACATTCATTGACGAGTGAGATTTAAAAACTGCACTGAGCAGAAGTTTTAAACCTCGAATTTGCCTTTAAGAAGCCAGAATTTAATATTTTAAAGTTAAGTTCTCCAGCCTTTATTTGACCCACAGCTTGTCTGATATTAATGCCATTTAAGTGTTTATATATATATATTAAGTGTATTTATATATATTAAGTGTATTTATATATATATATATAAAGTGTATTTATATGTATTAAGTGTATTTATATATATATATGGTATACACACACACACATATATATATATCCCAAATCAAAATATTATGAGTCAGTCTACTTGGAAGATAAACATAAAAATATAAGATCTAGTTGTATAAATTTAACTTGGGAATTTCAACCACTAGTAATTTTGCTAATTTGTTTTAAAATAAGACATATCACATTGTACATTACAATAAAAACACAGAAGTATCAAGTTTGAAAATATACTTTATTACATCATGAACTGCATTCATAAACTCCAGCAAAGCTGGTATGAACACATAAGGACTGATGACTAAACCCCACAGCTTTACACCACATTCTCATTTTACTAAAAACATAATAAAAATACACAAAAAAAAGAAAGTAAAAATGAAAGAAAAAGAAATTTAGTTTTTACAGTACCTGGTTATTCCACTAAACATGGGAAAAAACCATGCATACTTTTCATTATTACCATAAACAGGTTATCATTTCCGAGGAGCAGTGTATAAATCTCGAGGGACCAATATAACGTTTACTATACAAACAAAACAAATGCAGCTTTATAAACAACGCATTCTTATAACTACGGTCTATATTTTAAGTTTGGAGAAAGCTAGGAAGCAATTTACTTTTTGCGTGACGAACCATGTGAATGTCATTTATCAGCACTGCTGCCTTGTTATCAAACATGAAAGGAAGGCAGACAGCTCTTCAAATCTTGATTGGGACAGATGAGGTTACCTGGTAAATCACCTCAGCAGGTTTGTTTGATCCATCCTCAACAATGAAGCAGTCGTCATCATCATCCTCTCCTATTTTCTTACCATCAGGAACCACTGCCTTGCCTTTGTCCAGACCACTGACAGCCAGCTGGCTCTTTGTGCTAACAGAGGGTGAAAAACCCAGTTTTTTATCACCATTTACCTGAGCAGAATTTGGTCCCACCATCATTGTTGAAGGTTTGGGATGCAGTTTGCCACTATTCAAGCGCTTTGCCATGAACTCCTGAGCTTTGATACACTTGTGCCGCTGAAGTATCTGAGCGGTTCTGAAAGGAAGGTGACAGACTCGGCATATGAACTCGCCTTCGCTGCTCGATGGGTCTGTGTTAGTGGGCATCGTTTGCTGCACAGAGGGAGTGACAGGCGTTTTCTGACTGAATACACTGAGGTTTGGACTCTTTGAGGACAAAGAGACACCAATGGAAGCTTTAGATGTACTGGGATTTTGACTCTTAGGCTGAAAAACTGAACCCACTTGCACGCCTTTTGAACCCACTTGAATATTACTATTGTATGCTCTGAATTTTTTCTGTGCAGAGGTGACAAGACCTGATCGACTCCCTTTACCGGCTGCACTTGGAATCAGGTTTTCCACCTGTGGGGCAGAGGTGGCCTGAGGTGGCTGGGCCAATAGATTCTTTCTTACATTGTCTTTAATTGGTGACTTGTAGTTTGGTGGTTTTGCAGTGAGAAGTTTGAATTTGGCATGACTGACTGGGGTGTTACAGGAATGAAAGCGAGGCACTTGCTTTCGGCCAGAGAGCAGCAAGCCACAACCAATACAGCCAGAAACTTTATCTGCAACATGCAAGCTGTGGTGGGAGACGAGAAGGGCTTTTGACATAAAACCCTGCCCGCATTTCCCACAAATGTATGGCTTCTGAAGCTTGCAAACTGTTGGCACCAGCACAACTGGCTGATAAAGTGTCCAAAGATCCACAGTTGGTGCACCAACATCAGCAAAAATGTTCTGCATGCTTTTTCCTACAGGGACAGGACTTGAGGGTAGAGATGCTTTAGACAGAGAGGGGTTAGAGCCAGGCAATTTTGGAGTCTGCACAGTTTTCATGGGAAGAGGTGAGAGGAGAGCTGAAGATCTGGGTTCTGAAACTGATGGTGTTACACTTGCATTAGGTGGACTCCAAACAACTTCACCTTTCTGCAACCTTTCCATCTTTTCCTCCTGTTCCACGTGCTTCTCAATTCTGCGCTTCTTTATGGTGGTATGAGTGACAGCCTGATGCCCTGGTTCATGTGTGGTGCTGTGCTCCAGCATGTTTTTGTACTCAGTAAACTCTGTTCCACAGGAGCAGATGAAACTTGCAGAGGGACACACATGGTCCTCCAGGCATTTCCGATTTGCAAATATCTGCTCACAGCTGAAGCAGAAGTTTCCATTGCCCTTGAGGCTTTTGGCAACGCCAACCTCCAGGATGCTCTGCAGTATTTGACTTCCGCTCTTCATGATCAGGCTGGGCATGGGTGTGTAATCACTGCTGATGATGAATCCTCTGGGGCACTTTCTCTGTTAAAAAATCATGAGCAGAAACATCAGAAGGATTATACAACATGCTAACCTGGGAAAAAAATACTAAATTTAACTTAAAATAATTTTTCCACCACAGGAGGGAGTTCCTCTCACCCAGTTTTATATAAAGTGAGTTTTTACATAATTATAGGGGTTTTCCTGATCAAACTCTCAGCTTCAGACCCGTTCCCAATACGCAACCCAGATCCTTTTTACCCATTATTTACCCTTGACCATTAGCATGTTTCCAGATCAGATACTTTTTATTAACAAAATTTTCTTTAACAACCACACTCATGCCTAACCAGATGACTCTTTAGTTTTTACCACTGTCTTGTTTACACTACAGGAACTAAGACCAAAACCGACCACAAAAAAAAATAAATAAATAAATAAATAAATAAAAATAAAAAGGCTCTAGCAACCACTCCAAATTTCAGAAGGGCCTAACGCAGGTTCAAGGTTTTTATTTGTGATACATGAGGTGGAACGAAATTGTGTACACAGGGTCCCAGTTACATCCAACAAAAGTATAAAATGAAAAAGAATGTAGAATGTTACAGACACTTGTGACAGTTCTGTGACTATTTCGAAAAGGAAAGTTGTCACATTGTTTTGTTTATCCGTTCAAAACTCAAGCGACACGGCTGCCACCTCTACAACTCATGCAAGGATGTTAAAAGCCTCAAGACATTCTGTAGATGTCCTTGACTTTTGCCAGCTATTCACAACACGAGATGCCCCCCAGGATAGATCTGAACCCATGAGTCTGAGGTAAAGATTAGGTTTTGCTATCAAGGCTAAGAATATGGCCAACATCAGCCTAGTCTCAAACTACAATAAATATTACAAATAATACTATTAAATGTTCAACATTGGAGCGGTTATGAGGGCAGGAACAAAATAGTCAAGGCACGTACAAAAAGACCTTTGGCAGAGAGAAGTATGGATGCATGGAGACAAAAAGATACAAAAAAGGAAAAAGTATGACTCAACTTGGAGCTATACAATTATATTCAAATAAATATCAACCTTGTTTATGGCTTAAAGTTCATATTAGACACTGTCATGCCACCAGTTTTTCAGATCAAATAAATCTGAACAGGACTAGACGAAACAAACAAAAACAACAACGAAAAAGAAACTACACAAAGTATTCTGATCTTAGTCCCTTTATAAGAATAGGTAGGTGCTTTCATCACGTTTTAATTTCTTAACGTAGTTATGTGCATTCTCTTCCTACACACAATGTGTAATGATGTCCTTATGCATGCTCAATAATTTAACAGTTACCGGTAAGTCAGGTCCTTTGAACGGATGCAAAAAATTCACAGAGGGCTGAGTGATACTAGCAATAACAGCATTGTAAGAGGGGGACAACTGAATACAGAGGCCTCCACCCCTGTTTAAAGATGGCCTCCTTTACTCCTCTCTCAAACCAGTGTTCCTCTTTATCCAGGATGTGAACATCTTCACCCCTGAAAGAGTGACCTCTGGCTTGCAGATGAGTAAACAGCAGTCTTGGCCTGATGATGTTGCTCTTCTGTGCTGGGCCATCTTTCTGACCAGTGGCCATTTAGTTTCCTTGGTGTAAAACTGATCACAGTCCTCCTGACACCGAACAGCATACACAGTATTACTCTCACACCATTTGTGCCGGGGAACTGGATCTTTGGGATGAACCAGTCTTTACCGTAATGTATTTTGGAGTTTGAAAGTCACTGGGGCATCATGTTTAGAAAATAAACGTCTGTTTCTCTGAAACTCTGGATGTTGCGGGAGTTTCAGAGAAACTGAGACATTTATTTTCTAAACATGATGTCCCAGTGGCTTTTAAACCCAAAAATACATTACGGTAAAGACTGGTTCATCCCAAGTTCCAGTCCCCCGGCACAAACAGAGTAATATTGTGTATGCTGTTCAGTGTCAAGAGGGCTGTGATCAGTCTATCATTGGGGAAACTAAACAGCCACTGGACAAAAGGATGGCCCAGCACAGAAGATCAACATCATCAGGCCAGGACTCTGCGGTCTACACTCATCTCCAGGCCAGCGGTCACTCTTTCAGGGGTGAAGATGTTCACATCCTGGACAGAGAGGAACGATGGTTTGAGAGAAGAGTAAAGGAGGCCATCTTTGTGAAGAAACCGTCCATCATTCAACAGGGGTGGAGGCCTACATGTTCAACTGTCCCCTCTTATAATGCTGTTATTGCCAGTATCACTCAGCCCCTTGTGAATAACAAGCAGCCATCAGAGTGCTAATGATCCATTCTTAGACTGATGGTCCTCCTTGAACAGCTAGTTTTGAATGTCAACATGAATGTCCTGATTTTAGTATTCTACATCGCCTTATAATCTAGCTGCATTTCCTTTTGATTGTCGTTTTTGTTGCCATTTTATTGTAACTTGTTAAAATAAAAAATACATTTGTATGCATCTTTTATGATTGTCTACTGCTGTCGTTTGTTCACTGTTGTCATAACTCTGTTAAAAATTCAGGTCTCTCTTGTAAAGGAGTCCCCAAGGCTCAATGTGATTAACCTGTATAAATAAAGGTTGAATGGAAAAATACAAAAAACCACTGGTTGATCCACTATGAGAAGGTGCTGTTCATAGGACCATGTTTTTCACAGCTCCTCAGACTGAAGAAGTCTTTTGGATTAAACACAAAATGTTTCTACAAATTTTTATGAACCCGTCAAGAGGACCAGACTTAATTTTTTTAGAATGTGTAATGAATTGTGTCTGCAGCTCTATCAGGTCCTGCGCAGAGGCAGCCAAATCCGACAAACAAAGTAACTCACCAAGTCAATTCAGCTGCAAAAATTGCAAATGGACTTTAAGGAAAGTTGTTTGCGAAGCATCACGGAGACTGATGTACATTTCACGAGGCTAAACATACATAAAATTTAAATAAATCCTTCTTCATAAAATACACATTACCGTTTCTCAAAGAATATTATTCACCAATACGTTTTCGCGTCTTAATCTGTTATAAGTATATGGAAAATTTTGCTCATGGGTTGAAGAATTTGTGGTACGTAAGAAAATCAAATAGACGCTAAAGCTAAGAAAGGTTTGTACCGTCCTTCATCCATATAAAATACAAATTTCCCAACCATCAACTTTCAGCATACACATTGAGCCACAAAAAAAACAATAGTGTATTGTTTGTACTCCTCCATAAAGGTATTAAAGTAAATGCTTTATTATGATGCATTTGTTACACCACGTTTTGGTGAACGCGGGCTTGTCTTGCTATCACCTAGCACAGCATGCTAATGTTAGCACAACTAGCTCCGCGACGATTTATTGTCAACTTACCGTGACGTATCAAAAAAATGAAAGTGAATCAGAACTGTGACATATCTTGAGAAAAAACAGTTCACAGCTTGACTACTGTAGTTTGGTGACAAATTCACGACTTCACTCACTCGCCGGCGTTTAGCACGAGCAGATAGCCGAGTTAGCACACAAATCAACCAAATAATGAGATCGCTTTTCTTCTTCTACGGAGCGCGCCTTTCCCAGAAAAACTTCCGGGGTTGTTGCGTTATACCGCCACCTATCGGGTAGGTGTAAACCCAAGATTCTTCATTCCAAGATGTTGTTATACTTGTGTAGTTTTTAAATGGTCGGATATTAAATAAGAAAAGAAGCCTGTATGGCATGAAAGTTTTCAATATCAAATAACTCTTATTATATTGCAAAATGTGTTTTTGAAATGAGCCGTGTGAATTTGCAACCTGTCCATGCTGTACCTCATCTTCCTCAGTGCCTGCTGAACACGCACCACTGAGCAATGCAACCCAGAAAGGAAGCAGCTAGATAAAAGATGGATGTATGAATTATTCTGATATGTGTAATCTAAAAAAGGTAAGAAAGGAAAAAGGAGGAGGTAGAGAAAAGGGAGTCAAGTTGATGCTAGTTTTATTTTAGGGACAGGTTTGTTTTTCTACATATGTAAACTGAAGTGCAGCAAATACAAATTAAACACTGACCTCAAAATTATTTGAAAACTAGTCCAAAATACAAATCACATGATTTATTTGTTACACCGTTTAAAATATAAATTTTTAACTACTTTTTAAAAAGATCTATAATAAATATCAGAAATGTCACTAACAAGGTGCCTCTTAAACATTTCATTTTAAATACAGATCTAATTTTATTTGCATTTACATTACACTGATCCAAACTACTAACTGCACAACCATGGTTTAGTCTTCTATACAAGATTGTTTCATTTGAATTAAAGGTTACATTTTAAACATAAGAACATTTACTCACAAACGTACTGTTACAAGTTTAAATTGAAGTCATAACTGAGACAAAGAAAAATAGTATAAACTTTTACTGCTATATTTTAAATTAATCAGTTCCTGCTTTTAGTTTCATAATGTAGCTCGTTTGCATTTTTGTTTTATATTACTGCTTATATTTTTAGTTTATTGCCGTCTGTACATCAGTTTGTTAAAGCAGGTCTCTCTTGAAAATGAGTCCCCGTGACTCCTACTAATCTGTATAAAGTTTGAATGAATGAAACTTTGAATATCGGTAATTGGTCATTATTTAGCCATACAAGACTTTAAAGTAAAAATCATTTACTTCATACAGAAGTAATGATGCATCAAACAATATTTGAAGTTAGAATTTGTTATTCTGTGCAGCTAGTGATGTAGTATTTTTTCCACTCATCTAATAACCTGCTTCCTGAGAACTACACACAACTGATAATAAGGTTCGACTTACCATTAAAGTTGCTGTTGGAGTAATTTAACATAAAAAAAAGTTAACTTAGAAATGTTTTTCCCATTTTTGTAGTTCCTAATAAATCCTATTGACCTTAAAACAATATCAGCTCATAAAAAATAAGAACGACGTTTCCCACATTCTTTGAACGTTTATTAACACCAAGAACAACAACAAGCTACATTACCAACTTTATGAAATACTTGATGACCAAACTTCATTGTATTATTTACAGGCTAATAAAGCTAAACAAGATTGTAATGAACTAGGAAAAAATATAACATATAGAACAAAGCACTTAAATTTTTTTTTATAAATAAGTCGACAAAGAAATCATCTAAAAACATCGTGGCTGCTTACTGTTCAAGTGGGTCCTGAAAAGTAACCAAACAAACAAAAACAAGTACATGAAGAATAAAAATACATAAAATATATCCCACTTTGTGTCAAAAATGTCTCAGTTAAAACCAAGTGTGATTAAAATGTCGGTAGTTCTTGTGTTTTAGGCCGAGGGTTTCCTATCAGGATGCGATGAATCCTCCTGCGGTGGATCTTCAGAGATTTAAGGGACGGGTATACACCCTGACAGACGTCACAGCGATACGATTCTGACTGTTTGTGAGTCAGCAAGTGCTTCTGCAGACTGTCCATCGTTCCAAACCAGCGCAGACAAACAGGGCAGCGTACAGGCTTGATGGCAGGTTTGCACGCTCCGTTTCTCTGGTGAAACAACAGACTGATACCGTTTGGAAAGTCTGCGTTGCAGTGAGAACAGTTGAAGGTTTTGGGTGGGTTTGCAGCCCGTAAGCCTTTGCAGCGATTCCATGATATGTGCCTTCGAAGGGAACAACGAGACGCAAAAGTATTTCCGCATCGATTGCACAGAGTCCGTTGCTTTTTTGATAGATGCGGAGGCAACTCTGGGCGTGGCTGTTTCTGTGGAGGCTGCAGCACAGGATGAGCTGCCTGCATTACTGACTGAGCCGACTGCAGCACGGGCTGAGGCAACTGCGGCTGCTGTATTCGCACTAGAAGAGGCTGCGATGGCTGCAGTCCCTTCATCAGCTGGTGATGAGGATGCATATGGATCTGCAAATGAACTTCATAGTCAGCCCAGGAACTGACAGTTTCTCCACAAGTGGGACATGTGTAGGATTCTTGTGCATGCTTCTGCAAATGATCCAGGAGGAGTCGGGGAGATGTAAACCCAGCGCCGCACTCGCACGTTACCCTTCTTGGAAGTACAGAGGGCAGAGACATGATGCCCCAATTTCCTGCATCATCTTCCTGAGGTTGCGTGTCAGCTGCTGCGTTGACCGTCACTCTCGGCTGCACCGTCACTCTCTGTGCGTCGGACATTGTTCGCTTAAACTGACACCTCTTTCTGTGAGTCATCATGTTATCCTTGCGATTGAAGGCCCTTCCGCAGACAAAGCAGGAAAACATTGGCTTTACGGAAGTGGAATTATGTGCGATGGCACCCTGAACTTGAGTCTGAGCTACACTCCCAAACCCACGTGGCCTAAAGCCACACAGTCGCAGGTGGCGCCGCAGAGTTGAGGCACGACTGTAGGTTTTCTGACACCTGCTGCAAGGGTAACGCCTTACACCATTACTCACGAAATAGCGCAGGCCGTGGGGAGTCATCTCTGAGTGCTTGACCGACCCCGACTGCTTTGCCTGTTCATCATCACCAGCTTTATTAAGAAAATTAAATGCATGCACTTCATCATCCAGGGGCACTGTCCACTGTCCTTTGCCATGTTCATCATCAAGCCCTTCTGCATTCCAGCTTTCTACTTCTCCTTCCTGGAGTGAAGCAATTAAGAGATCATGGTGTGACTCCATCACGGGAGATGGGACAAAGAATGGCGAGAAGCTTTTTGCTGCTGGAGTCCAGGCCAACAGTGAAGCTTCAGACTGCTCTGAATTTGGGGAATTCATTTCAACCTTGATGTGGCTTGTAACCTCAGTACCTACAGCAATACTCTGGTATTCACTCTTATCTTGATCTGTGTCAGTATGGGCGTTGTTGACCTTTAGGGTGAGCATCGGTGTTGTGGAATTGCCCTGCTCAGAGAGAAGTGACATTTGACCAATGCATCGGTGTGTTTTCAGGTTCCACCTCCGTGCATAGCTATTTTTGCACAATGGACAAAAGAAAACCTTTTTCGGATTGTTCAGACTGTGGAATGGCACTATTTTAGAGCCAAATGGTAACTTGTTTTTCAAGGGCCTTGCTAACGGTTTGTTTCTCATCTGAGGGCAGACATGATTGTCGGGCAAAGGCAACCGGCCAATGATGAGCTGTTTGCAACGACGGCAACATTTGATCCGCTCTTTTTTGTGCAAAAAATGATGCTCTGTCAGTTTGTCTACATTCTGAAAGACTCTACGACAGCGGCCACATTGATATCTCCCATATGTGCCTTTACATGAGGAATCCATGAGCTTTTGGCGGGTTTCAAGAACCACAACAGGAGACAAAGTCTTAGTTAGGGAGACGACCCTCTTCCTACTTGACTCCAGGATTTTACTAATAGATGGAGCTTTGGTTTTTATACCAGGTTTAATGAGCAGTCGTCTCAACTGGGCAATAGAGAGATCATTAATTGAAGAGGCTTGTGGTTTATCTACTGGTGTTATTTCAATTTGAGAAGCTTCTTGCTTGGGTACGACTCTCTCATCATTTAGACTCTCGGACAAAGGAGGTGGATAACGGTTTTTGTACGCTGATGCCAGCATCTTCATTAGGGCGTTATTTTTGGGTAAATATTCACCCTTTGAATTATGTTGGTCTGAATTAGGTTTGTTTGGAAAAACCACATCTTCTTCACTCTCCGACATGTCCTCTGCAGCAGAAGACATGCTTTCAGTTGGCTCCATACTGATATCTTTAGGAGGAGGAATACACTGGTCTTGAGGTGTTACCATGGCAACATGGTCCTCCAAATCCACATCTGCTGAATTCGATGGGGACGCTTCAATAGCTGGGGACAAGGAAGTCGAAGGGCGACTAAGATCTAAACCCGTCTGGTTTACAGAAGTAAATGATGGCTGCTGGGTAGCAAAATCACCGTCAGACTCTGCTCCACTAGGAAGAGCAATATTACTGTCTAGGGGCTGCAGCTGCTGCATCTCAGAGACGTGTGAACGTTTATGTTCCAGCATCAGACTAAACTCATGAAATTCCTCTCCACAATCACAAATGTAAAATGAAGGTGAAGGGCTCTCAGCAATCGGAGCAGCTGGACTGGCTTGCTCATTGGTTGAGACTGTACTTGCAAACAGCGTTTCCTGAAGGATGGTGTTGGGCTGCGTTGGAGGAGGGGAAGAGCCCTTGGAGACAGTATTCGCATGGCTCGCTTGATGTACGAGCAAAGAGGCTAAGCCAGCGAAGGTGTCTGAGCACGCCATACATCGATAGACTTTGGGAGCCGCAGCAGTTCCCTGTAATCCAAGCATGTTGGCAGCCCAACATACACTGCACGCTGGGCGTTTTGTTCCAGCTGAGCAGGTTCCTGTAAAATCACACACAACATGGACAACATTAGAGGAAATAATTGTAATCAAGAGTAATTTATAATAAAAATGGAATAACTAACTTTTTTTTAGATTTTATATATATATAATTATATTTTTAAAAAAAATATATATATATATAATTAGATATCTTAAAATGTTTTTATTCTATGTTAGTACCATGAAAAACTATAAAAGACAGAGGTAGGAAAGCCAAGGTGATTCAAAATCTGAGCTGCTATTGTCTGCAGTTTCCTCGAGGCCTCAACCCACAGAGCAGCCGAAGCATGAGATGGATCCCAACATGAGGAGACAGCCATTGCAGCCTGCTGTCACCAGATCCATCAAGCCTCTCTGGTACAGAGAGAACCCACAGCTCTGGATATATGCACCTTTTCCACAAGCACAATCCAGCATATTTAAATGTTAGCCACGTAAAAAAGTAAAAAAAAAATCATCACGACGGTTTCAATCGTGGTTAAACAAGCTGGCTAGGTAAGAACGGCCTTACCGTGAACTAGTTTAACATCTAACAATGCACCAGTGTCAACAATAAAAGCAACCAAGATAAAAATAAATGGGATAAACAATTTTTGTGCAAACGACACTTTTTGTTTTACCAACAAGCTCCAAGATTATGGAACGATCTCCCTCTTCCCACCAGACTAGCCCCTTCGCTGTCCATTTTTAAAACTCACGGTCTCTCTTGTAAATGAGTCCTCGAGGCTCAATAAGACTAACCTGTATAAATAAAGGTTGAATGAACATATTGACTTCAATGTAATTATCAATTCAATTCAGTTTATATAGCGCTGAGTCACAACCGAAGTTGTCTCAGGGCACTGAACAGAAACATTTATCACAAAACTAAGATGAAAACAAACACAAATGTAAAGCTTTTACAAATACTGCAACTATACTACTGTCAACTCTTCCCAATAATAATAATGTGAAATTAAAACAGGCCTGTCTGAATTAGTTTAATTTATAACATGAGAAGTACATGCCTTTATTAAAAAGAAGTATATAAATGTGTAGTGGCTCAGTCACTTGGAAGTGATACAAATTAGGACATTGTAGCTTCAAACTAAAAACATACTTTAAACAACTATATTGCAGATTTGAAAATAATATACTGATGAAAAAACATGTTGAGAGCAATTGTGCAACCCAGTTTTTATAATGTATACACTCTCAAAGAAACCTAAACTCTTTTCCAGTAAATTACTTTAGACCGTCTTTGATCCGACCTGTTCAGAAACGGCAATATGAAAGAGGATTATGATCAAAGTTTGTACTGGCTGACCTTCAGTAACAATTTAAATCTGACTTATTAAGATGTGAAATCTTCTCACAATTATGTGAAAACATCTTGTGAATTCAGTAAAACAACAGGAGAGTTTTATAACACATCAAAGCCAGTTACAATATTGCAATTTGCACAATGTCTAGAAAATAAAGTCAGATTATTGTTTCCTGCAGGCAAATGAATCACTAATGAAGCCGAAATCTAGCTGTGTCTTCTTCACAACTCGTTAAGGAAAATGCCACCAATGTTTCAGTAACGATAAGCCTAAATTAAGGAAATATAGGTAATTAGCAACCACATCCTTTCCATCCCATTCTTTACCTGCACTATATCCAAGAGAAGTGTTTGTACTTTTGCTTTTCACAAGTTGCCCTCTTATCTTCAGGAAAGGTTTCATGTTCTTCCTATAGGTAGAGTTGGCTTGGGTTTCCTGAGCTATCCCTTAGTTATGCTGCTTAGATAGAAGGCTCCATCCGTCAAGGAAACAACACAACACTGATGGGGAAGAATCAGTTTTGTGTTGTGCGTTTCCTTGACTGATGAAGCCTTCTGGATGGAAGGTGAAACGTTTCAGCAAAAAAAAGAAACTGTCCAGATGACCCAACTGAAAATTGTTGGATTGTATATCTGGATTATTGAGCATGGACTTTTTTGGTTCTCCATTTTTGTTCTTACTTTTGACTTTAAAATAAGTTAATTAGGGTTCCTCACCCACTTTTGGAGGTGTTAAAATGTTTTTTTGCTACCAACTTGGTTAAAGGCATACGTTTTCGCTCATCTCGGTTTTGCAGACTGGTCATAAACATTAGAAATAAAAAAAAAACGTACAAACAACAAAGTCAACCTGATGAACGTGGAGCTGAGGGGGAAAATAATGCTGTCAGCAAATGGTAAAAACTTCACAAGAGACAGGACGATTAATTCTGCTTGATGGCCCATAGTTTCTAATGCCTTATAGCACAACAAACCAACACACACACACACTAAAATAAAATGTTTGTCAGCTTTTGCAGAGGATTTGTTTGTAAAACTCTCAGCACCTCTGCCTTGCTCAGATTTTAATGATGCGTTTACTGTGCCTCGGAGACAGGGAACTTATTCCTAAAATGTCAAGTATTATTTGCTCATATTCAACAGCGGCAATGTTGTTAAAGCTATTTAGGAAGTAAATAGGATTAACTAACATACCCGTATTTAATGCTTCACTTAAGGCATATATTGGGGCTCTGAAAATATTAACAATTATTGAGGTCTTCTTTAAAAATAAACGCCACTAAGAAATGGACTTCAATCTGATCGATTACCTAAACTCCATATATTTTGATGCTACACTTAACCAAAACAAAATCCGAAGTAATAATTCACCTTTGTAAGAAAATGTACGGAATTCCCTATAGTAAACGACGAAACTGGAATAAATAACAAAAAATTACACTTATCGAATCCGGAGAGGTTGAATTTTTTTTTTAAAAAGAGAAAATACCACGAGGTGTCCGCAAACACAACAAGCTGCTACGTTAGCGAGCCATTGCTGGTCAAATCGAATATAAACACGGTTTCGCCGTTTTCATAAAAACTCGTATTAATAAAAGGGTTAAATATTGTGTTTACAAGTCCTACTCTCAAGTAACTGAGCTGCCAAAATGACTATTTGTTTAACGCTTGCTCAATTAGCATCTAGCCCCGTCAAGCTAGGTCGTCCTGAAACATCCCGGAGGGACGGAGTGCTGTGAAAGCTAACCAAGAGGAGGTGGCCGACCACGTTCTTGTGCAGGCCGGAGAACTGAATAACGTTTCCGAGCAAGATCCCATTGTAACCATGACTTCTTAAGAGGAAGCAGTGGGGAAAAAACCCGCCCATGTCGGACTCACCAGTTACAAAAGCGCTAAGGTTGTTCACTCGAAGAAGATTCACAAAGAACGCCAGTGAGGAGGAAGAGGAGAAATAGCCACAGCTTGGATCTGTCCATGCGAAGGCTAAACTCTGAGGGAGACGCGGCTCCGCTGGGTTTCTGTGGCGAACAAAAAATGATGCTTTGCCAGGAAGAACTGGAGCTCCAAGCCGAGAGCCGCAGCTGCAGAAGGCGCGGAATGCTTTGCATGCGCATGCGCACAACACGAGCGCCTGAAGGCTCCAGCAGAGGATCTGTGGCTGACGTTAGGTCTCTGTAGCCACAGAGGATTCTGGAGGCTCTGCTTCCACAGGCCGATACTTCACGTTACTTCTTTCTTCATACAGGGATGCTAAAAAAGTAGGCATGCATTCATGTTTAAGTATTCTTATCAACATATCCTGATAATAAGGTAGTTTTATTTTTAATATTAAAACTATATAATCTCCAATTATAGCTTGGTCAAATTTGGGCCACACAAGATGAAATGATGCTATTTAATTAGTGATTAGTGTTTCATGCACTGCTTCTAAATTTTGGTCTAGTTTCATTAACAATATATATTTTAACGTCGCCTATGTGTTGAAAATATTTTAAAATATACACTGACAAGCCCCCCCCCCCCCCAAAAAAAAAAGTTGCCACTTGGATTTAACTAAGTCTCCTATTGGATAATTACTGTATGGGTGATTATCTTTCAGCTGGCAACAAGTTATTTAACCCCAACTGGTGCAATGAGTTGCTTCTCATTTTTTAAACAACCATGTTGGAAGATGTCAGTCTGTTTGAGAAGGGTCAAATCATTGGCATGCATCAAGCAGAGAAAATATCTAAGGAGATTGCAGATACTACTAAAATTGGGTTAAGAACTGTCCAATGCATTATTAAAAACTGGAAGGATAGTGGGAACCCATAGTCTTCGAGGAAGAAATATGGCCAGAAAAAAAACCCTGAATGACCGTCATCGGCGATCACTTAAATGTCTGAAATCAAATCGACGAAAAACAACAGTAGCACTCAGGACTATATTTAATAGTGAAAGGAAGAGCATTTCCACATGCACAATGCAAAGGGAACTGAAGGGATTGGGACTGAACAACTGTGTAGCCTTAAGAAAACCACTAATCAGTGAGGCCAACTGGAAAAAAAAGGCTTCAATTTGCTATGGAGCATAAAGATTGGACTCTGGAGCAATGGAAGAAGATCATGTGGTCTGATGAGTCCAAATTTACCCCGTTCCAGAGTAATGGGCGCATCAGGGTAAGAAGGGAGGCAGATGAAGTGATGCACCCATCATGCCTAGTGTCTATTGTACAAGCCTGTGGGGGAGGTGGTATGATCTGGGGTTGCTGCAGTTGGTCAAGTCTAGGTTCAGCTCAAAGAATGAGGTCTGCCGACTACCTGAATATACTGAATGACCAGGTTATTCCATCAATGGGATTTTTCTTCCCTGATGGCACGGGCATATTCCAAGATGACAATGCCAGGATTCATTGGGCTCGAATTGTGAGTGGTTCTGGGAGCACGAGACATCATTTTCACACAAGGATTGGCCACCAGAGTCCAGACCTTAACCCCACTGAGAATCTTTGGGATGTGTTGGAGAAGGCTTTGTGCAGTGGTCAGAATCTGCTATCAATGCAAGAGCTTCGTGAAAAATTAATGTAACACTGGATGGAAATAGAAACACTGGATGGAAATAGATCTTGTGACATTGCAGCTTATCGAAACAATGCCACAGCGAATCTAAAGGCGGTCCAACAAAATACAGCCCCTTTCCAAAAAATGAGAATATCATGGAAAAGTTTTTTAACTTCCATAATTCCATTCAAAAAGATAATTTTTAATAAGATGATAGATTTAGGGCCCGCAATTTAAACAATTTCAAGTATTTGTTTATTTTTACATAAAGCCACAAAAGTTCATAGCTAAGGAGGCTGGCTGTTCACAGAGTGCTGTGTCCAAGCATATCAATGGGAAGTCTAGTGAAAGGGCAAAAGGTGGCAGAAGAAGATGCACCAGCAAAAGATGACCGTGGGCTTCCGTGGATTATCAAACAGAGAAGATTCCAGAAACTGGCATAGATCCAGAGTGGAATGAGGTGAGAGTCGCAGCTTAAAAAAACACCACATTCAGACGCATCCGGGAGATGGGCTACAACTGTTGGGTTCCTCGGTCCTCTTTTCCAATAAAAGTAAAGTGTGCCTTTCATTTGGAAATCAAGGTCCACAGGTTTGGAGGAAGAAGGTTGAGGAACAGAGCCCATACTGCTTAAGGTCCAGTGTGAAATATCCACAGTCAGTCATGATTTGGGGTGCAATGTCCGGTGCAGGTGTTGGTAAACTCTGATTTCTTAAATCAGGGTCACCTCAACAGTCTACCAGAATGTTTTACATAACTTCAGGATTCCTTCTGCTGAGGATCTGTATGGAGATGCAGATTTCATCTTCCAGTAGGACCTGACACCTGCCCATGCTGCCAGAAGCACCAAAACCTAGTTTGATGTCCATTCCACAGTGCTTGATTGGCCAGCCAACTCGCCGGACCTAAACCCCATTGAGAAATAAATCTATGGGATATTCTCAAGAGGAAAATGAGGGGCACCAGACCCAACAACAAAGAAGAGCTGACGGCAAGCAGCAAGGAAATCTGGGCTTCCATAACTCCCAGGCAATGCCACAGGCTGACTGCCTCAATGCCACGTCGCATCGAGGCAGTGATTAAGGCAAAGAGATTCCCAACCAAGTATTGAAGAATGACATATCATTTTGAAAGTACCATATTTTTGATTGATTTGTTGTGATCCCAATTTCTTTTTTTTCCTGCAAAAACTGAGTAATGTGGGCTGATGTCTTCACAGTATTGTAATTTTTTGAATTCCTATTTTTGTGAGTTTCATGAGCTGGAAGCCCAAATTGTGTAAAAATACACATAAATACTTGAAATTGTTAAACTGCGAGTCCTGAATCTATCATCTATTAAAGATCAACTTTTTGAATGGAATTATGGAAGTTAAATAACTTTTCAATTATATTCAAATTTTTGGGAAAGGGTCCATTTCAGTGTGTGGTAGCAACTTTTCTTTTGGCCAAGTAATGTATGTTAGGGCAGCTATGTCCATCCATTATCTTTGCCCATTTTCCTTTCATGGTCACTGGTGCTCATGTCTTCTTGGTGCAAAAGGGAAAATTTTAGACACCATTTAGCCTAACATGCATGTTTTTGGTCTGCGGAATAAACCAGAGTACCTGGAGGAAACTCACATGCACAGAGAACATGCAAACTACAAAGAAAAGTCCGCTTTCGGGCTTCGATCTGACAACTTTCTCGCTGAGAGGCAACAGCTCTACCACTTGCATGTTCTTGCACTATGCATATTTTTGTCTTGTGTTACTTTTAAAGCAACTTTTTTTTCACCCAGTCTGTTTTTATAATACACAACAAAATGTACATTTACAGCTTCATTTTTAGCCTTGCCATTTTTTTTCTGGCTCTTGCTTTTCTCCATTTTAAAATATAAATCATACAAATATTTTGTCAATCAGTTTATTATATGAAAATATGTAATTTTAGAAGTTTCTCTCACCTTTTGGGCAAATGTTACAAACAGAAAACTCAGAGGGCAATAATAAAAAAACACATGGATTTAACGTTGATTTTAATTCTTAAATGCATCAACTTTTGTAAAAAAAAAAAAAAAAAAAGAGGAAAAAAAGAACAGAAGAAAAAAAACTGGTGGTGAAAATAACTTCCATTCGAGCATTTTTCAATGTCTGTACAAGATGCTACTCGCATTACCAAAGGAAAAAAAGAAGAAATGAACTGAAGATTACAAAATTATATATAGTACAGGAATAGTCCAACCATAGAAAAGTTCACAGGATTAAAATTACCAGGTTAGAATCTACTTTACATATCATCAACAAAACTTACTAGTATTTCAAAATATGTTGAACCTAAAAAAAAAAAATCTGAGTCATAACATGAACATTCTTTCCCATTTTTTTTAATATATTTTTGAACACAGATTTACAAACACCGTCTAGAAACTATGTGGCAAATGTATTGTACACAAACCCCTACAATAAAACTAAAAATGTACACAACAGAAAATCAAGTCAAAATGCTTTGCCATAAACACATTAGCCAAAAGCGTTTTAAATATACAACGAGGGCAAAAAAGGACCAAAGTTTTAAGTACAAGTAGAGGTACACAGGTGAAAGGCATGAAGACTATTCAAAACACCTTAGTTATCAAAGGGTATGCACAATAAATGTGTTGGTACTATTCCTTGGAGGATCTTGCATGAGTCTGTTGATGCTCCTCCAGAAGGTGAGGAAAAGCAAATGCTTTGTCACATTCCGTGCACTCGTATACAACCTCACCAACATGACTCTCTTGATGATGCCTCAAAAGAGAAGGTTTGCTGAATGACTTGTAGCACATGTCGCAGCGATATTCTCCTGCTTGTTCTTCAGCATGCAGTCTCATGTGTAAAGACAAATCTTGGGCAGTAATAAATTTTTCAGTACAGTGGGCACATTTGAACTTTTTTATGACCAGTTCAGCTGCGTTGTTTGAGAGCTTTTTTAAAAGAAGTCTATTCTTGTGCTTTTTAAGATATGACATCCTGGCAAAGTTTTTTCCACAATGATCACAAGTGAAATGCTTTCTATTCAGGTGGTGCATGTTCTGATGGTCCAACAGACTGCTTTTGGAGGAGAATTGCATTGAGCAGTCATTACACGTGTACAAGTCCTCTCCAGTAACATCAATATCCTCTTCCTCCGCTGCTACATGATGAGTTGGACTTGGGTATTTGCTCTGCACCACTGCCTGCTGTTGGAAACATTTGTGACGATGAAAAGAGTCACCCCCCAAAAAGGTCCCACTGCACTTTGTGCATTCATACTCTGAAGTCGATGTTGAATGAAGCAGCTTCCGTTTTTCAAGCTCACTTTCAGAGGGGTCAAGCTGAAGTTCTTTTCCATCAGTTGCATTATCGGGATGTGTTGGAAAATGGTCCATCAGTTCAGCAGCATTGGCAAAACACAGATGACAAACTGGGCATATGAACCCATCTCTTTGAACTCCTGATGAGGCATTGACATGGGTCTTGAGATGTTTGAGGAAATGTTGTGAGGAGGAAAAACTACTGTTGCACTGATTGCATGGATACTCTCTAGCAGACCATGATGGCTGATGGGTGTTCATGTGCTTTTTTAAATGAGATGCATGAAGAAAGTGTTGATTGCAGCTCGTGCAGGAATAGGGTCGCTCTTTGGCTTCCATGCAGCCATGTTCTGAAAGCTCTTCTGGGTCTCTGAAGCGCTCTCTACAAATACCACAGCGATACCTGAACTCTGAGCTGTATCCAATGAGGCTTTCAGACAGTTCACGATCTCCTCTAGAGTCTGAAAGCTCATCAAATGATGCAGAATGGCTTTTCCGATGCTCAACTCTACTACTCTTGGACTGAAAGACCTTATTGCATATATCACATGGAAAGCTCTCTTCACGGTGGGTAGACATGTGCTCTGCAAGCTGCATGGGGCCAGTAAAGAAGAGGTGACACTTGGAACAACGGCACTGGCGACTCTTCCCATGAGTATGCTTGTGGGTTCGCAGTGCAAAGAGAGAAACGAAGCCCCTGCCACATGTTTGACACTGAAATTCAGACTTGTGCATTCGCTGGTGATGCTGCAGCTGTGATGCATGGAAGAAACATTTGCCACATTCTGCACATTCATGTGGCTTTTTGCCCAGGTGACACAGTTGGTGATCCTCAAGACTTTCTGACGTTGGAAACGTCTTCCCGCACACATGGCATGGGAAATATGGTGCAGAGTCAGAGTCGCTGTCACTGTCCTCAATTTCATCCTCGTCGCTTTCACCATTTGTACTAACATGACTGCTAGACGGCTGTTCATTGGTACCTTTTTCCAACCTTGCACTCCTAACATCCTTCCACTCTTTTGCATGCCATTTCTTACAATGATAAGTCAGTGATTTCTTGATGGGATAGACTTTACTGCAGAACTGACAATAGAACACATTATCTGCATGTTCTGCTTTGTAATGGTCACACAGAGCTGGTCTTGTCCAGAACCGTTGTTGACATAATTTGCAAATAAAGGGCTTGTTTGGATCGTGACTTGTTTTGTGTTTTTCAAGATCAGACATTGTGGGAAACACTTTGGAGCAGTGGGCACAAGAGTATTTTTGATTAATTACATGAATCCTCATGTGTTTTTCTAGATTCCCTTGACTAGAGCATATCTTCCCACACAATGAACATTTATTTTGCTTTCTCTCTTGTTCCTCCCTTCCATGGTCTTCAAGGTGGCTTATGAGTAACAGGCCATCAGTAAAACTTTTATTACATTCTGAACACTGATACTGCACAGATTTCTTTTCTGTACTTAAGCTGTTCTGCTCCTGAATTTCATGAGAACTTCTTGATGACTCGTTCTCGGACTCTTCATTGCAAGGAATGTCGGTTTGCAAAACCTCAGTGTTGGCTGGTGTTTCAGAGTCTTTGAATACAAACTCAGAGTCTTGAAGTGCAAAATCAATTTTTGCTTTTAAAGGACCTTCAAGCTCTTGGGCTGCATTTGGTTTACATTTCCTTCTGTGATTTCGGAGTAGAAATTTATTCCAAAAGCCCTTCTTGCATAATTTACAGTTATATGGAGTTTCTGTGGCATGCACACGCTGATGACCAATTAGTCCAGCTTTATTGGTAAAACACATATTACACTGTGGGCAGACAAACTGTAGAGAGATGTCACTCTTAGGTGCTGTATCTGGTTTACAGATAACATTTGCACCTTCAAAAAGCCTTTCCTCACAACTCTCAGCCACAGGCTCTTCTTTTATGTTTGGTATATCAGACAGAAGTTGTTGCAGGGGAGCTGTAGACTCGGGTGGACTCATGGTTTCTGTCTTGTGTGTGCTTAAAAAGTGCTCTTGGAGCTGTGAAAACAGCAAAAAACGAGTACTACAATAAGCACAAGAAAAACCTTTTGGTGGGCTTTGAGTGTCTGGCTGCTTGATTTTGGGGACTGGTGGTGACCCTGGTTTTGAAGTGCAAACTTTTTTGTGATCGTCAAGCTTGGCTTCTGGGAAAAATCCTCCACACCTGTCACAGAGCATATCACCACTCCGAGGTTTCTTGTTGCACATTAATAAATGACGCACCAAATATTCCTTCTTTACAAATTTTTCTCCACAGTATTCGCAGAGATGTGGTCTGACAGAGCAGTTTAGTTTGTGTTCTTTAAGCTCTTCTTCTGGGAAAAATCCTCCACATCTGTCACAAAGCATTTGTTTGTTGTGCTGAAGTTTGTTCTTGCACTTTAAATAATGACGGTGGACATAATCCCTCCTTATAAATCTCTCGTTGCAATACTCACAGGAATATGGCTTTTCTCCCGTGTGTAAACGAAGATGCACATTTAATGGACCACTGTGTTTAAAAGTGCGGGGGCAGTAACTACATACATACTTGAATTTTTTATTAATAAAAGGTTGGATCTTCAGTACGATACGATTTCTGGTGTCACTCTGTGGTTTTGGCACAGTTTCTGTTGGTTGATTATTGTCATCAGTCAGGGAAACGTTTGTATCCCTGGTTGGTTTTCTGCACCTTTTCCACTTCCGGTGTGATTTTAATGTCTTTTCATGAGAGAAAGCAGAACCACAGCACATGCACTTGAATTGTTTTATAGAATGGAACATGGTATTGTGTCTGGAAAGTTTGGACTGTGTTGAGAAGCTTTTCAAGCAGACTTTACAATCAAATGTCTCCTGCTTATCAAGAGGAACGACGTTAAACTTGGTTTGCCAGCCTCTGCCAACATCATCTAGACTGATTTTGGGAATTCTGATCTCCAGACGTGTTTTTTTACCATTGCAGTGAGACTGGTGTATCTTCAGATGATCGTATCTTGAAAAGCAGCTGTCACAGGCTTTACAGCGATAAGGCTTCACCTCATTGTGTTTCAAAATGTGATTTCTTAAACTTTGTGGTTTCATAAAGACTTTGGTGCAGAATTTACACTTGTACTCAGTTTCCTGCTCTGTTGGGGGCTTCTGAATTGCCTCTATAAGAGTATCCATTTTTGTTTCACCATCACTTTTGGGTTTTGACTGCTTTGAAATTTTAATACCATTACAAGATTCTTCATGACTAAAACGCAATGCCTGACTTTTGAATCTTTGGCCACAGCGTGTGCATGCATAGGGTTGCACGCCAGTATGTGAAACAAGATGTCTCAAGTAATAGGATGCGTACTTAAACTTCTGTGGACAGTAAGGGCATTTAAAACGATGTAATTTGGATGCAGTAGAGTGTGGTGGTGGTTTATGGATGTTCTGGCTCTTTTTTGAAGATGCTTCTTGGTTGTTCTTGCTTATTTTTGTGGAACGTTGTTTGGAATACCCTGCAGCCAGTGTGTCATCAACAGAGAGACTTGCAGTCTCCCCACAGGTTGTTTTATGAAAACTTATTTTAGGTTTCCCATAGAACACACCACATCTTTCACAAGGAAACAGACGATTTGCCTTATGGCCCTCAAGATGCCTTCGAAAACGGTCTTTTCTAGTAAAACTCCTGGGACACGTAGAACACTGCAAACGTTTATGTGAATTAGTTTTGTCAAGGCGACTACTCTGAGATGGCAAACACTTCAGACTGTGCATTTTAAGGTATATGGATCTATAAAACTGCTTTCCACAGTTGGTACAGGAAAATGGTTTGTCTCCAGAATGTCTGACCATATGGCGCAGTAAATTGCGGCGATCAGGATAATGTTTCTTGCAAAATGGACATTGGCATGAAGAGGACTTTGAAATATGTGTAAGACAATGTTTTCTTAGTATATTAGAATCATCAAAAACTTTTTTGCATAAGGAACATTGCAACTGTTTTGGTGCACTCTCTTTTTTGGCAGTTTCCAAGGGCTGCTGTTCCTTTGATGGCATTTCCTCTTCAGGTTGATTTGGTTTTAAGTCCTTATTTTTGTGGATTGGAATATGTCTTAATAGACGAGCAGGATAATCAAACTGTGATGGACACTCAGGACACTGAAGTTTCCCCCTTTCAAGGTGTGATTTCCTGTGCTGAAGCAGTTCTCCGACAGTTAGGAATTTTTTTTTGCAGACAGTGCAATTGTATCTTTTCTGGTGAATAAGTTTATGAGTAACCAAATGGGTGCGTTTCTTGAATCCCTTTCTACATTCTAGACAGCGATATGGTCTTTCACCTCTATGATTTCTCTCATGTCTCTTTAGTGACAGCAAAATGCTGAAAGTTTTTCCACAAAAGCGACAGCTCAGAGCTTGATTTACAACAGCTTCAACAGTTTCTGATTGATTGGTACTCTCTTCAGTCTTTGTATTACTCAGAAACTCTGGTTTAGACACAGAGAAAACAGAACGTCTATACTTGATTATTTTCCCAGTGAGTTTAAATAACTCATGCTTTTTCATATGTCTATACTTTCCAGAGGGATTCTGAAAAACTGCTGGACAGTGATTGCATTTGTAGAATAAGACCGTCTTGGAGCTTGTTGAATCTGGGAGTGCTTTCACTTGTATTTTTTGCACATCTTTTGACTGTGGTCTTAGTTCTCCTTCCTGTTTGGTCTGAAGCGTCTTTTTCCTTTTCTCATCTGCAAGTCGGTCAAGATATTCTCGCAAGCAAATGGTTTTAATGTGTCTATATCTGGCAGATGTTGACATGAAGGTAGTTCTACACAATGGACACACATATTTGTCACCAATCTTTTTCTTTCCACCACTTATTTCATTTCTGACACAGTCACGCAAATGCCGAGCCCTGTTGTGGGAGTACTTGAAAAGTCGTGAACAAAGAGGACATTTACATTTGTCGTCTTTTTCACTCTCCACTTTATGAGGATTTTTTTTGCCGACCTTTGCGGTGAATCGTTTTGATGAGACAACCCGTTTCTTTCTCTTGTGCACATTGAAGTAGTGCTTTTTGAGTTGCTTTACAGAAGCAAACAATTTACCACACAACTGACAATGATTTGTATTGGAAATGTCAACAAGCCGTACGTAACATTTCTTCATACTTTCATATGAAATGTTCTGTTCCACAATTTTTTGTGGAGATCTTTCAGCTTTGCTAATTAAAGCATCAGATTTTCTATCTGTCAGCTTGGACCCCTTGCATCTGCCAGGTACTCGTTTGTGCATTCGCAGGGAACTAGTCTGTGCAAAATACATGCCACATTGATTACACCTATATGGTGTTGTGCCAGTGTGAATTCGCATATGCTTCACAAAAAGACGTATTTTTGAAAACACAAGTTTGCATTTGTTGCAAGTGTAGCGGCCATAGTCAATTTTTTTCTTGTTTGGAATTAAGTCAGAGGAGAGCGGGGGACTTTCGACAGCATCACAAAAATGTTTATTTCCTTTGTTTGTCATCAGATAAATATTGCAAGTTTGGCAATATTGAAAACTAGGCATTGAATGGCGAAAAAAATGGTGCTCAATCAGCTCATCTACATTGTGTGATGTGTGTTGGCAATCAGCACAGCAGTGGGGGCTGCTCTTTCCATTTGTTGACTCTGAGGTTGTTAATATCACAACAGGGTGCAGCAGTCTTTTCACTTGTAGGGATGATGTTATTTGAGGTGCTTGTTTTTCCAACTCGTCCATGATTTCATCATCATGATTTTTCACAACTGTTCGTTCATGCTGGCTTGAGGCAAGTTTTGTTTCACTAGTAGTGCATGAAGAATCTTCTCCTGACAGAGGCTCGCCATACAACAAGGTAGGCACAGGCTGGTCCGACTTTTCAAATGATTCTCTTGCATCATCAAAAATATCTGCACCAAGACGTATTGACTCTTGTTCTACAAAACTTTCATCCATTGACTTGTATTGATTGAGAGAGGAGATTGAATTTGTATTCTTTCCTGAAAGCATCTGTTCTTTTTCTGAACTTGATTTAATGTCCATGTTTGAGGGTTTTGGCTGTAAGCAGGATTTTACGCTGTCCATCGCCATTTGCTTGCTGTCATTTGTTGACAGTGTTTCAGTATTACATTCTGGATCTGTGTGGTTGGTAGTACTTGTTCCTTCAGCAAGACTTGCACATTCCTTTGAAAAGCAGGGATGTAAGCTGTCTGGCTGCAAGGACGACTCTGGATCACTAACAATGTCTTTAATGTTAGTACATAAACTGTCACTGGTGACACAGGGATCATCATCATGATTTGGAGCTTGACCATCACAGGTGGTACTTTGATAAACATCATGATGTGGAGATAAGTTCAGAGTTTCTTTCACTGGTGCTTTTTCCAATTCCAGACAGGCATGGGGACTTGTGCAAGCAGCATTTTGCTTAGAGCAAGATTCAGGACTGCTTGTAAGACTTTTCTTCTCATCACTAATGTCATTTGCAAAACTGTCAGTGTCATTAAGGGCAGGACAATTTTGAGTTATATTTTCTGTAGAAGTCATTGCCATTTCTATATTAGAAAGAATATCTGTGCTTGAGCAGCATGCCTCTGAAGCAGAACCAACATGAATGGTAGCATTTTTACCATCAGTTTTCTCACAAATTGTATCATTTGTGACGGTGGGACTAACACAGTCTAGAATTGGGGAAAGATTGGTCTTTTCTTCAATTTTAACACAGTCTCTTTGGGAATTTTCATCCGTGTCTGAATTGTGCAACTCTACACCAGACAACCCACAACAAGCCACATTTTGCTTTTCCATGTTATTAGCATCACTGGACGAAGTGACAACTAGACCATAACAATCCAGATCAGGAGAAAATTCTTTTGCCCTACATTCTGCACTTGTAAACTCTTCATAGCTTTTTGTTTCTCTTTCAATACCCATGTCTAAGTTGGTATTACTTGGGTGCAAGCAGGTTTTTGAAAAGTTCACAACACTAGCATCAGTGCCAGCGTTATCCATCTCAGAAAGGTTTATACAACTACTGTCCTGAGCTGGGCTTTCACAGGATTGCTCAGATAACTGCAAGCTGGATTCTGTTTCATGAGTGCTGCTACTCAAACTGCATTCACTCAATTCATTATCAATATTTTTCGAATTCGACTCCTTAAGAGTCAGATGATCAGACACTTGAAACATGCAAGTCGAAATTTCTTTTTCATGACAATCAGCTTTCTTAATATTGTCTCCACATTTAGTGACATTTAGATTTAAGGGTTTCTGCTCGTTGGAAACTTCAATGTTCGACAAATCTGATTCTTCTCTTGGAGTGTCCTGGATATTAATTTTTCTTTGCACATATTCACTCACAACTGTATAGTGATTGGCTGTCAAGTCTGTCATACCGTCACTGTCATCCTGTTCCTTTAAGGGTTTTCCATCAGTGAGATTTTGCTTGTTGTCAAACAAAGCTGAAGTAGACGATTTAATCCGATCCTCTTCCTTCTCCACTGGGTACTGATCATTTCCAACTTCAGTCAAGTTACCAGTCATTAGGAAGTCTGGATATGTAGCATTCTTAAGATTTCTTTCCATGCCCTCTTTTTGTTCGTGATCTTGAAAACTATCACAATCATTTCCATTATGTACAGTCTCACTCCCTGTACCCTTTATCATACAAGAGGTAGAAGACTGATTGTGTCCAGCACATGTTTTCATTGAAAAGACATTTGTTTCTGACATATTAGGACACAAGCTATCAGATTGAAGATGACAATTTCCAGTGTCATTGAACAAGAAATCTGCTGAACTGTCTTTCAAATCAATCTCAGCTTTTTGCTTCGGAAATGTGTCACTTCCACTGAATTTACAAGGTCGTTCTTCACCATCTATATCTGAGCAGCTGCTTACAGACGAGTAGTCCTCAAGACATGATGCAGATGACATTTTACAGTTTTGTTCAACTCCTTGTAAATCTGGTGTAAAAGATGAATGAAAAGAGTCTGATGTTGGTAACCCATCTGGTGCAAAACTGGGGAAACTGTTGTTTCCACATCTTGGAATGTAATCCTTTTCCATTTGTTCTCCATCTGCTCGCCATTGTGTTTGGCAGTACCTTTCGTAAACACAGTCCGATCTTGAATCTTCAGAACGAGGATTTGCGTAATAACTTGTGTTAAAGTTTGGGTGTGATACAGCAGCTTCTTGTGAAGCCACTGTACCTGAGAAACCATGATGTCCAGTCAAGTTCTCTGTATGCTGGGACAGAGATCCGTCAGACTCTGCCGTCCTCCTCAGTGTCTCAGGATCGGATGACAGTGGTGGAAGGTTCTGAAAGTATGGATTCCACCCATGAGCCATTCTCTACTAGGACTGGAAATCAGCGCTTGTTGCATCCAATCCTAAAAGCATACAAAAGAACAATATTACTAGAAAGAAATTGCAACCAATATTTTACCAAAAGAGGAGATAATACTCACCCGTTATTGGACATACAAGCACTAGCCAGAATGAGCTGAGCTACATCTCATCGGGAACCTGCATACAAAGATATAAATTACCATTAATACTTTAGATTATATACGCCACAATGTATCTAAAATTAATAGACAAAACATACTAATGTTTACACCTTAAAAACTGTTTTTGGATTGGTGCCAATTTATTGGGTGAGACAGAAACCACATTTTCTGCTTCACAATCAGAACTGATAATTGATAAATAAAAGTTGTGAAAAGACAACCAAGCTGATTCAGTCAGTAAGGTAGTAATACAACAGACAAGCTTACTTGACAAATGGCATTCACTGGGCTATATAACATAATTCCTGTAATAATTGAAAACCAAAATTACTAGTTACCCAATTTTATTTTTTAGAAGTCAATAGCACTGGGCCATATCATATAATTTACGATAATAATTTAATAAGAATAAGAATTTCTAGAATTGGGCTGCTCAAGATGGCTGCATGTTGGAGCAGCTCTGTTGCATTCATTTTGAGATTTTGCTTTTGGAAACTTTAATTCCTTTTTCTGGATGTAAATCCCATTTTTTGGATTACTTTCCTCTGGTATCAGATGCTGTGCAGCTGGAAGAAATTTTACTGAAACTTTTTTAGTTTTGGACATTTGTTATGATGCGTAACCATGGCAACAAGGCAGTTTTCTACAACCAACAGCTGATTAACATCTCAAAAGCTCAAATAATCTCAACTTCAGCCCAAAATCTCAAATGAGTTGAAAAGGATGTTCTGTGGATGCATTCTCATCTACCTGCCAGCTGTGTTCGAGTGCCTGACCACTGAGATCCTGGAACTAGCAGGAAACACGGCTCATGACAGCGGAAGGACAAGATCGTCCCTCGACGCCTACAGTTGGCTGGCAGCGACGAGGAGCTCGGCAGACTGCTGGGAGGAATGGCCATCGCTCTGGGAGGAGTTCTGTCCAGCATTTGGGCTGTCCTAAAGCCCAAGGTAACCGAGAGGCCAGCCGAGTCTAGGTGGATGGATCGGACGGCATCTGCAGCCAGTTTCTTAGGATCGACCTTTACAAGAGATCCTTCCTGCCTACAGCAATCAGCATCTATAACATCTCTTAATGAAATGAGGATAACGAGTTACAACAACAAATAATTTCCCTCTGGGATTTATTTAAGTATTTTTGAATTGAATTGAATAATAGAAGAAAAAAAAACTTGCCTGGGAAAATAAATTACATCATACTATGATAATTTCATGGTGTAAATACGTCAGTGTTTTCCATACCATTATACAAGCGGGGTGCCCTGCCCCATTAACAGAACAGAGCACACCGAACTACAGAACCGAAATGCATCCCCCCCAGCTGTCGGTACTGGCGTAACACTAAGCTAGACGCGCGCAATACTAGCCACGCACAATACTAGCTCTAAAAAGCTAAAGGCATCACTCACGCTGCCTCTTCACTCATGTTGAACGCCCCCAACAACACGCAGTTTGGCTGTGTCAGAAAGTTTGAATATTGTGAAACGGTTCAACAATGAAGACACCTGGTGAAACACTCTAATCAGCTAATTAACTCAAAACACCTGAAAAGGCCTTTAAGAGGTATCTGTCTAATTTTGTAGGCTACACAATCAAGGGGAAGACTGCCGACTTGCCAGTGGTCCAAAAGATGACCAATGACACCATGTACAAGGAGGGCAAGACACAAAAGGTCATTGCTAAAAAAAAAAAGGCTTTCACATGGCTTTGTGTCCAAGCACATTAATAGAGAGGCGAAGGGAAGAAAAAGATGTGAAAGAAAAAAAAGTTTACAAGCAATAGGGATAACTGCACCCTGGAGAGGATTGCAAAACAAAACCTATTCCAAAATGTGGGGGAGATTCACAAAAAAGTAGACTGCAACTTGAGTCAGTGCTTCAAGAACCACCACGCACAGATGTATGCAAGATATGGGTTTCAGCTGTCGCATTCTTTGTGTCAAGCCACTCTTGAACAATAGACTGCATCAGAAGCATCTCACATGGGCTAAAGACAAAAAGGACTTGACTGCTGCGGAGTGGTCCAAAGTTATGCTCTCTGATGAAAGTAAATTTTGCAATTCCTTTGGAAATCAAGGTCCCAGAGTCTGGAGGCAGAAAGGAGAGGTACAGAATCAAAGTTGCTTGAGGTCCAGTGTCAAGTTTCCACACAGTCAATGTTGGTTTAGGGTGCCATGTCATCTGCTGATGTTGGTTCACTGTGTTTTCTGAGATCCAAAGTCAACACAGCCATCTACCAGGAAGTTTTAGAGCACTTCATGCTTCCTGCTGCTGACCAACTTTATGGAGATACAGATTTCATTTTTCAACAGGACTTGGCACCTGCACACAGTGCCAAACTACCAGTACCTGGTTTAAGGACCATGGTATCCCTGTTCTTAATTGGGCAGCAAACTTGCCTGACCTTTACCCCTACAGAAAATCTATGTGGCACTGGTAAGAGGAAGATGCGATATGCCAGACAAATATTCAGAAGAGCGGAAGACCACTATCAGAGCAACCTGGGCTCTCATAACACCTAAGCAGTGCCACAGACTGATAGAAATAAACATTTGAAATATATCAGTCAGTATGTAATGAATGAAAATATACAAGTTTCACTTTTTGAATGGAATTACTTAAATCAACTTTTTCATGATATTCTGATTTAATGACTAGCTCCTGTATACGGACATTCAGACGGAAATTATACCATACTTGGCTGCATTTCCACAGATGTATAAAAATACTTTGCAGTTTACCTTGTAAGTTAGTTGTTTAGATCATTTTTTTCATGCGTGTTACAACAGTGGTTCCCCTACTGTCATTCAAAGAGGGCACCCTGCCCTGTCAATAGAACTGAGGGGCCGTTTACACGGCATGTATTTTGAGTGAATCCGCACCTTTCCCTCTGCGGTTCTGCTGTTCATTTACACGACACCAGTGGCCCCCCTCTTTGAATCCGGAGGTTTCTCAACACACCTTCTAGAGTGGAGTTTTTTTGCTGACCGTCCGCTGATAATGTAAACATTTCCCGCTGAGGCTGTGTGTTGAACCACATGCGCAAACGCACGCGCGGACAGATGGCATATTTCTATCAACATGGCGGTGGACACATTGCTTTCTGAACTACGACTGATGGAATACATTTTTTAATCTCATAGTTAATCTACATCAGATTCCAGGTGCTGTGACCGACATCTGTGTTGGAAGAGACAGTCAGACAGTCCAATATCACAGTTTATAGAACGAGGCACGCACACACGTTGCCCTGCACTATAACATACTAAATGTGCTAAATAATAACAGTTTAATAATAAACAGTATTTACGTTAGTGTGAGATATATAATTAAGCTCTGAGCTAAATTAAGCTATCTGGACATTATGCAATTCAAATTATGTGATTAAAATGATGCGAAACATATTGCGTGTTACTAAAGTTGAAAATGAAGACATCAGGTTTAATTTTTATTTAATTATTAAACACCACAAACTGTATGTCACACAAACACTGATAATTAAACTGAGCACACTATTAAAAACAAGTTAACTGTAAACTACATTAATGAACTAGACTCTTCCTCTGTTTTCATCCTGGATACTGGTCCCATGTTGTTCAACTGGCTCATTCAGGCTGTCACTCCTTTGCTTAATGTAGCTTAAAACATTCAATGGATTGAATAAAAAAAACTGAGGGGGATTTTAAATAAATAGTTCATCCAACATCTCTCTCTTAGACATCCTCCTGCACTGCACCTGGGCCGAGCCTCGTTCAGAATCGGACCGCCTGGTGGAAGGACAGCATCATCTTCTTTCAGGTAAAATAAAAATAAAAACTCAGCTGGTTGTTGTGTGATCCAAGTAAACACAAGCAAACATTAAGAACGTTGATTTACCTGCCGCAAATCAGCTACCGATTATCACGGAGTAAAGTCCAACATCGTCGACTCTGTTCTGGTCCACTCAGCGACCGGTGTGGAGTTGTTCGATGAAGCGATCCCGCTTGGCGTCAAATTTGTTAACTCTTATCCAAAATCCAACCAAAATCCAGCTTTAACTTGTTAAGTTGTTGTTAGCTGAGCTTTTAGCCCAGAGGAAAGGAGCGTGCCGAGGCAACACGCATGCGCATTAAGTGAATGTACAAAATTCACAGCGCCAACTAATGACCCGGCATGGTAACTACAGCGGGAGGGTGGGGGATGATTCCTCCTGATGCATGTAAACACTACATCTGTCTGTGTCAACGCAGATCTTTTCCTCTAATTAACATACGAAAAAACCTACGTTTCCCCCCACCGTGTCCATGTAAATAGGGCCCGAGTACCCTACCGAAATCACCGTTCTTCACCTACAACTTCCCACAAACACCCCCCAGAATGCACCCCCCTCTCAGTCAGGATTTGAACTGGCGACCTTCTTGCTGAGAGGCGGCAGGGCTACCAACTGTGCCACCATGTTGCTAGTTTAATACTATCGACAGGAAAAAGAAATTGAGGTGGTAAGCATATTCTCACGACAGGTCAACATGTAAAGTTTGTGAACGCAACCTTTTGGTGCTTATGCACAATTTATAAATGAGGCCTCATGTCTTTGAAGGCCATTCTCAGGCTAATTTTAATTCTCCCCCCTAAGCATGTCTTTAGTTCTGCAGAAGCCTGTTAATAATCTATTTATTCAAATCAGAATTGTTGAAGCAGTGAAACATTCAAAATATGCAAGACTGTGGCCTTTGAGGACAAAGCAAGGACAACATGGCCTTAGGCCAAAGACTGATGACAAAACTGACTTGTATAAAAAGATATGGCCTTGCAGACAAAGATGTAGTTATCAACGTACATTGCTTAGTGACTGTGCAGTGACATTGTTGTGATTAGTTTATTCTACCATGATGAAAGGCGATTATATAGTGTATTGTGTCCAGCTACATTTGTTTTGCATATTGTTTGTACTGGGTGACTGAAGCAGATTTCCATTTCTGGGGACACACTCCGGTTTACAGCAACAGATTTAACAAGTCACAGATGGGGGGCTGCAATGA